CATGCTGCTAACAGTATCATTCTGCTAAAAGTATCATGCTGCTAACAGTATCATTCTGCTAAAAGTATCATGCTACTAACAGTGTCATGCTGCTAAAAGTATCATGCTGCTAACAGTATGATGCTGCTAACAGTATCATGCTGCTAACAAGACCATGCTGCTAACAAGACCAGGTTGCTAGAATAACCTCACTGTCATCAGAACCACTCTGCCAATAGGACCATCCTGCTGAAGATTTATTCTTTTTTACTTTTGGCACCTTGTTTCTGTATTTTTGTTGCAGACTTTGAAGAAACCCCAGTTTGTTAATTTAGTTTATGTTAGTTTAGTTTATGTTAGTGCTCAATTAAAGCATGTAAATTATAGCCGAACAGAACCTATGAGAATCATGTTGCTGTGAATTGTTTTGCACTATTAGTGACTGGCTAGCTTAGATCTTTTAGCGTACTGTTTTGTTTTCGTTTAGTGTATATCTTAGTTTATATCTTAGATTTTTATTTACTGTTTCTTTTTACATGTTATATTTTTGCTATTCTTGGATGTAACTGGGACCCTGTGTACACAATTTCGTTCCACCTCATGTACCACATGTGATGTGAATGACAATAAAGAACCTTGAATCCTTGCTGCTGACAGCCAAAGCCAGGATCAAGGAGGACCATCAATTTAACAACGGATCGTTAGAGCCCTGATGGCTGTTTGCTATTCACAGAGTGATACTAGCAATCACAGCATTGTAAGAGGGGGACAGTTGAACCTGGAGGCCTCCACCCCTGTTTAATGATGGACGATTTCTTTTCACAAAGATGGCCTCCTTTACTCCTCTCTCAAACCATCGTTCCTCTCTGTCCAGGATGTGAACATCGTCATCCCTGAAAGAGTGACCGCTGGCCTGGAGATGAGTGTAGACCACAGAGTCCTGGCCTGATGATGTTGATCTTCTGTGCTGGGCCATCCTTTTGGCCAGTGGCTGTTTAGTTTCCCCGATGTAAGACTGATCACAGCCCTCCTGACACTGAACAACATACACAATATTACTCTGTTTTTGCCGGGGGACTGGATCTTTGGGATGAACCAGTCTTTGCCGTAATGTATTTTGGGGTTTAAAAGCCACTGGGACGTTATGTTTAGAAAATAAACGTCTCAGTTTCTCTGAAACTCCCGCAACATACGGAATGACCACTGGCACAAACCGAGTAATTTTATACTGTTCTTCTGCAGGTCAGAGGTCACTCGATCAGGGATGAAGATGTTCATATCCTGGATAGAGGAACGATGGTTTGAGAAAGGAGTGAAGGAGGCCATCTTTGTGAAAATAAACCATCCATCATTAAACAGGTGTGGAGGCCTCCGTGTTCAACTGTCCCCCTCTTACAATGCTGTTGTTGCATCACTCAGCCCTCTGTGAATAGCAAGCGGCTGTCAGGGCACTAATGATCGTTAGGCTGCTGACATTTCAACAAAGAAGAATCCAACCAGAGGACCTGACTCAGATGTTTTATCTTGTTGCAGAGGTGTCATCCAGTGTGACGAATTGTTTTGTTGTGGCAATCAGAAGTTTGGCTTTTGTGTTTGAGAACACCATGAGGTACAAAGTAATTCAGCTATTTAAATCAGTGTGATTGAGTGGTTAGAGCGGTCGTCCTCCAATGCAAGAGTTGGGGGTTCGAATCCACCAGCAGTCAAATGCAGAAGTGTCTCTGGGCAAGACACTGAACCCCTCATTGCCTCTGATGTGTGTCCCATCAGTGTATGAATGTGATAAATAACTGATTAGTCTTTGTAGAGATCTAGTAGAGTTCTGTTTGAATGGGTAAATGAGGGAACAGATTGTAGTGTGAAGTGTCTTGATCAGATACAAAGGATCTATATTACAGTCCATTTTACCATTTTATGTTTTCTAAACTCCAAACAATGACCTCTTCCTCGACTCAAAGCTCTGCTACAGAAATCTTGTGAACAAAGCACTTGTCGTGGTTTACACCACGATGTGTGGATCACACCTGTAGAACAATATGAACTCACAAACGAGTTGTCAAGCTCAGCTCAACTTGTTTTATATCTGACAAACAAACAAGTTGCTTTGTTTGCTTTATTTTTAACACATTAAAAAACTAGGATCATTTTCCAAAATGCATAATCCTCTGTCAGGGCTTTCTGAAACATTCATCATTCAGATTTCCACAAAAAGACTTTCTATACATCTCGTCTGTGCATAACTCCCAGTTCACACACACAGGTATGTAGACACAGTTACACAAAGGCAGCTGCAAAGTCAAAGGTTTGCAGAATTTGTGCTCTTGCATCAGTTTCCTGCTGAAAGCCTCCATCTACCTACTTCACCAATCAGTCACCTGCCATGGTGTTTAAAAGAATAACCTCAGGGTAACAGATCAGTGAGACTCCGCATGTCTGAGAAATTAATTTCTCATAAAAATGAAAGATAATGAAGCAGTGACAGAAGCAGATCAAACCCTGCAGGCAGCTACTTCCTTCCACAGCGCTGTACATCCTCAACAACCGATTATAAAACGTGATTAGGGCTGAAGCAGAAACGACGTGAAGAAGTTCTGTGAAGACTTTCAGCTGCTGGGATGCGAGTGTTGCAACCACCGAGCCATGAGAGGAAACAGGGCTTGTTGCAGTGAGTCCACCCTGAACAAACACAACTAAACATGGTATTAGTCAGTCTAGCCAGCGATACAGTACTTTTGCAATGCAACACTGCACTGTTTTACACACTCATGCATGTAGATTGATACTTGTAGTTCTTTTAGAACCACCTAAAAAGGTGCTTTAAAGTTTTCAAATGTCAATGAATCTTGTGTATTAATGTGCTACACAACTGTGATTTGTGTTTTAGAGAACAGTCTAAAAACAATTCTGGTTAGTGTCTGCATGTCATGTCCCACTCAGCCTCGCAGAACCCACATAAGAAAACTACAAATACTCTTCTTCTATGGTACAACAAACCAGAACATTTGTACTAAATACAGCAAACCATGAAATCAGAGGCAGGAAATTAAAAGTGTAGAATTACAGTAGAGGTTGAGCACAATTCCCCCCCCCCTGGCTGATAGAAAATGAGCTGGTGAGCATCCACTCGTGCACATGACAGCATCGTGTGCATGTCGGAACAGAAAAGTGTAAAAATGCACCTCCACATGCACTCCATCCACGCCTTACCTATACGAGCTGTCTCAGCCTTCAAGGCGCTGAAGTCCCAGCTGCGAGGCAGTTTCAGAGACATGATCCAGGAGCACAGGTCAGTTCAGTTCACACACACACATTCACACACACACATTCACACACACATACACAAACTGGCGATACTGCAGATCACACTTCCTACTTCCTGACTGCTGATTTTTCTTCTTCTTCTTTTTTGCAGCTCTTCATGCTGTGTTCCTTCATGGTGCCTGCACCTCCATGATTGTAGCAGGGGGGCTCCCTGGAAGGTGCCGAACAGAACAGTTCTCAGTTCTCGGGCGGAACCGAGACTTTAAGTCACTAATGTTCACCAGTGTCATGAGAAAAACACCTACCAGCATCTTTCTTAAAGGAAATGGGGGAGGGTTGCCTCTCCTTCACACCTCACAGATGCAGAGGAAATGAATTTACTAGATTTACTTTAAAGAAGAAAGTCCTCTACTCGGAATAAAGTGACTACAAGGTGTCTTTATTGTCTTCGGCTGCTGAAAAGAGAAGGTGGAATGATGAAGTTTTTGGCTAAGTCAACATACGTCCGTTAGTTTTACAGATTTACAGGTTTTTCCCCCCGAGGTCGGCCTGTTAGCTTAGCTCGTAGCTTAACTTCTCAGCTTAGCTGCTTTTAACGATCCAAAAACACGATTTTTAGACGGTTAAAACAGATTTTAAAGAGAAAAGGAGAAGTCAGTGAAGAACACTGGAGTTGAGCCTTTTTGTCATCCAGTGTCTTCAGTAGAAAGAGAGACACGAAGAAACGATAGTCGATTAACGAAAATGAGGTCGATAACTTTCATTTATCATGCGATGAATTGATTTATTGTTTATTGGGACAGGCCTGGTTAGCAAATGATTTCATGAACCAATAGATACATTTTGATGACACTTTCAGGAAATAATTTTTGGATGTACATCTACAACTGATTAAATTTTGGAGCCAGCTCCATTCAAGATGGCCGCCACAGCCACCTTGGAAAATAAAAACAGCAGCAGTTCAGTTTTACAGAACTTGTGCTAAGATTTGGTGTGGCAGCAGCTGAGTGTCATTCACAAGTGCTGCACCAGATTTTGGCTTAAAACTTCAGAGCAAACTCTTGGGAGTGAATTTGTGAACAAAACAACGAACCACAAAGCAGGCTTTAATGAAACTCTCAGAATGTAATGGTTGGTTGTACATCTACAGCTGATTATGAACTTAATCCAGTTCAAGATGGCTACCACTGCTAACTGACATCAGAAAGCACCAAAAAAGGCTATGGTTATTTTTACTGAGGTAAAATTTGATGTGGTAGTAGCCGAGTCATTCTCAACACATAATGTCAGCTGACATCTTACAACGCTTTAATTATAAAACAAATGAGCCATTTTTAAAAGACTGGTGCGAGAGATTCAGCTGGACGTGTTTAAAAATGAGGAAGAGCAAAAGAAGAAGCCGGTCATACAGCAGAACACATGATGTCTTTAAATATATTTATTTTTTCTCTGAACCAAAAGCAAAGCACATATCAGCATCAAATACATTATTCTCTAGATAATATACAGTTTAACAAAACGTAGCAGAGTTTAAGAATATATATGTATATATAAATGTATATATAATAAAATCAGACAGATTTGTAAGCAAAAACAAAAAAGGAGGCTGCACAGAACAGGGGAGACAACTTCCTTACATTCCTTTCAGAGGATCCTGGCAGTGTATGATGTGCAACAAGACAATGATGTTATAAAATTTAAATAATTACATCTCCTATTATGTCCAATGAGCAGAAGCAACAAAAAAGGTCAAAGCTCTCCACAGAGGGAGAGCATGTGAAGACAGGAGCTCTGGCGCCCTCTGGTGTCCGTCTGTGGCAGCAGGCAGAGGAGAGGCAGTGCAGAGCTGCTGCTAAACATCTAACCACACAGCTGAGCTGTCAGGACTCCTCTTCTCAAGTTCCCACCCAGGAAACGACTTCAAACACGAGAACACAAGGTGGTGCAACAACGTGCACCATGACGCACAACAGCAACCAGGTTAGGACACACCCGACTGCACCACAGTCACAGCAACAACTCTGCTACTTTAATACTTTACTCCTATGTGGCTTTAAGAGTTATTTTCTTCTTCTACTAAAATGAAAACAAAACAATCTTAACATACTCTTGAGAACTGTAGAAGAGTGGGAATAAATTAACTGGATAAATAGTTTAAGATGAAAATCATGACCGTGAAACAATCCCGACATCCATAAATATAAATGGGATTACATTCAAACGTGGGTGAAAGTAACACTGATTTATAATTTAAAGATAGACGCAAGTTTAGGTGACCTCCAAATGAAACAAATGTACTGCTCAGAGAACAGCAGAGGCCGTAAGGTTCATGTTTAGGTACTCGGCGCTGACCTTTGACCCCCGACACTCACTGCCGCGTCTCGTTTTGAGAAGCGAATACAGATTTTGGTCGACAGAACTCCACAGAATTCATCTGGTTTCACTTTACTGATCAATAATTACCAGAAAACAACAGACAGGCACACGAGGAGCCGTGAGAAGAATGTGTGATCATCATCATCTACAGCTCCTTTACTCACACACAGGCTGAGTTTGTAACTTGGCCACACCAACAACCAAAGACAATCTTACAGAAGATCATTCAAACAATACAAACTGTGAAAATATTGATGAATTTGTATTTCTAATATTTTACTGATATCTCACTGGAGCCGAGTTCAGATTAGAATATGTGTTAGTGGGTGGTATGGTAAAATAAATAAACATTATTTGCGTGATATTCTGTGGCCACATCACAGAGGCAACAGATCCAGGAGTGAAAACCAGACCTCCCACTGGCACCCTCTGCTCCACTCCGAGCTCAGACGCCCCATGAAGGAGGCTCGTCTCGCTCTTTGGGCCACGACCTACACCTCATGACAAGTGAGTGAATCAAGTGCTTCACCTTTTGGCTCATCTCCTTCACCACAGCAAACCAAAGCAGCTCTCTCATTACTGCAATCTGGTGGTCCATCTCTCACAAAATGAGACGGCAGCTCAACATCATTCAGGACTTGGGACTCCCCGAGTTCCTCAGGTGGTCTTGATTTTAGGTGAAAGCACTCAAACAGAAAACACTGCAGAGGCTTCAGCTTCACTGTCGAACCACACCTGGTACTGGCAGAAATGACACACAACCCTAGCGTAAACCTCATGGAACGAGCAGCTGTTAGTACAGTAACTGATTGTTTTGTAAAAGGTCAACCTGAGCGGGTACACAGCTCTGCTGCACACCTGGATGACGAGGCTCGACTCTCAGCGCTCAGACTGATGAAGTCCCGCTCAGCGTCTCTGCTCTGAAGCTGCACACACGGCACGTTGCAACGCAGGAGCAGAGGGTGGCAGTGCAGAAATCACTGCGCCCAACTGTCCTTGCACCGTACAGAGCAAATATAAAACCTACAATAACTTTCATGAGAGAGAAAAAGAACATTTAAAAACAAAAAAGACTCTTACCCCTCAACATAAACGGTGGTCATTAGCCTCAGAGATTACTTTTGATTTGCAACAAAACATTATTTAGTATGAAACACCATTAGAGCACGGCAGCTTAAAACACAGATACTAATAAGTAACCTACATTAGGACGGGTCAGGAAACTGGTTTGGTGAAAGCTAAACTTCTGCAGGATTTGGCCGCGCACGAGAGGTTTTGAAACGATTAACGAAAGAGAAAAAAAAAAAGAGACGCACAAGTCATCACAGCCTGAGTAAAACAGACACAACATTAAGATATAATAAAACACACCAATTATAAAAAACTATCATTGTATAAATAGAAACGATCAAATCATAATAAAATCTAAATGGTGTTTGAAGTAACAGTACAGTGAGTAACAGGCATGAAAACAAACACTGACATATAATCAACAGATAATAGAGGACCTGTAAACACACAAAGTCCAGCTGACCAACATTCAGTTTAACAGTGTTCAGATTAATATTGGCTCTAATGGAATAATGTGACATCAATCACAACACAAACACACAACTCTCTCACCCACAAGAAATGGAATGACCCATGGCTGCCTGTTCGGGGTTTTTTTTTTCTTTTCTTTTAAGTGTTCTTGTTCACACAAAAACATATGTTCTTAGAATGCCGGGGTCAAACAGAGCCCCTGGCTGCTGCCCTCGTCACCCTCTCTGCCACCTTCACACGCAGCTGCTGTGGGAGGGTCTAAGCTGCGGCCTCCACAGCAGGCAGCAGACCTTTCTCTATCAGGTGAGCCTTCAGAGAGTTGAAGATGTGGAGCTGCTGATCAGGACGAAGAGCCAGGAGCTGCTGGATCACCTTGCTGGGGTTGGGACCCCTGAGAAAAGAAAAAAAAAAAAAAACACACGAGACATGAATCAAAAATAAATCCTCTAAAAGAGAAGAAGAGGCTTCTTCACTCGGTGTTTCCCCGACCATTATGCAAGATCTGGACTTGTTTTGTTTTTTAAATCTGGCACCTTTAGGCAGGATTAAACGTTAGAACTGTTCGTGCAAGCATTTGATGGTTTACCTGATGAAACTGGCGATGTAAACATTGACGAATGTGGCCATGAGATACTGGCAGTCAAATCTGTCCATGATGCCACCGTGTCCTGGGATTGTGTTGGCGAAGTCCTGAGGAGAACACACAGAGAGCAAGGTTTCACTGTGCATTAAAACAGACAGCACATAAAGAAAATAACACAAATGACACATTTAGAGCTATGACACAAACAATAAATGATTGCCTGTGTACGTGTGGTTCAAACAAGCACTTAGTGCTTATATTTCCACCTTGATCTTGAACGCTCTCTTGAAGCCGCTGGCAAAGAAGCCACCGAAGGGTCCGACGATGGAGGCGAAGGAGGAGAGAGCGATGCTGTGGATCTGGAAAGGATAAAGACGCACGGTGGTCTGTGGAGACGAGACAAGACGGTTACTGCACGTCATTCTGTTTTACTCCATGGGGTTCAAAAAGCAAAGTCCTACCCATCCAGTGACAGACTCCAGGACACTGGGCAGGGCGTACTCCTGGAGCTGAAAGAGCTCCGATGGCTGGCAGTCCACCTGGAAGCTGTTGGAGTCATTGTTGAACTCCACCGGACAAACGAAGTAGCGGCATCCGGCCATGACGTAGGACAGCTGAGAGGAGAGCGTCACTCTTCAGTTACACAACATCACTTTAATTTCTTTATATAACGTTATTTATGTTTTTATATAAATCAAAACAAATGAACTTCTCACCAAGATGCCAAACACAATGGTGGCAAAAAATCCACCAATGAATCCTTCCCACGTCTTCTTCGGTGACAACTGCAACAGCCCAGTTCAAAGATTATTATAAAATCCTTTACGGTTAAATATTCTTATGAACATTAACAAAGGGCTAAATAATCAGATCAACCATCTGACCTTAATGAGTGGGGTTCGGCCGAAGAAGAACCCAAACATGTAGGCCATGATGTCATTGCAGATCACACAGGAAATGGGCACAATGAACCTGTTCAGATATATAAAGAGAAGCTTCTGAGTTCATTCTCTCTCCATTTTACTTCCTGAGGGAATTCATTCAGAGAGAAGAAGTAATGGTCCTTTTATCTTTAGAGGGACTGAATCTGTACAAATGAGAACTCACCAGATCATCCCCTCAAACAGGTTGTGAATGATGAGGTGAGACTGAGTCACCACGATCAGCAGCGTGACATGGGTCCACCCAAACTGTGAACAACATGACAACATCAAACCTGTGTGTTCAAGCTCAACTAACTTCAGCGATCCTCTGAAAAATAAACGTTGTTAGAGCCCGACTGATATATCGGTACTGTCAATAATTTTGTCCGATAAAGACGTTTGGGGACCTATTGGTATCAGTGATAACCGTTCTATTATGTGCCGATATAAGAACTTCCAATTTTCACCCCTAAAAAGCTGGAAGCAGCTGTAATTGTACAATGTATCCAGCTGAGAGCGCATGAAGACTACTTTTAAGTCATTGCCGTTCACTTAAGTTTCACTTTCACTTTCGGTACAGACAAAGCAGGAAGCAATACTGTGTAGAGTATTTTTACTGAACATGGTAAGTTTATTTTAACAGATCAATAAAACAAATAAATAATATTAAATTCTCTTCAATCCTCCATCCCGCTTGTCATTAGCTACAAGCCTCTCTCAATTTAGCAAGCTAATGTTTAGATAACCTAGCATAGGATATTGTCTTGTAAAACTTTATCCAGAACAATAAAACGTAGAGGTAAAATATGCATCAGTATTAGTAACATTATCTTTGTCATCCTCAATGAAATGCATTGTTTGTCTGAAATTTTTACTTCTCTACAAAGAAAAATAAATTCTGCTGCAGTCAATACTAATTACCGGTAGACCATCACCATACGTGACTGACTAAACGATGACCAGAGAAAGATGTTTCTTTGTTTAATTTATATTTACTGTATGCAACACACTTGATAACTTTATGGTTACTTGAAAATTATTATGATTGAAATAATTGTTTGAAAAAAGGGGCAGATATAATAAGATTTTTTCTTCTTTCTGCTGCCTTCCATTTTAAATCTCTTGTATCTTTTTTACATTGTTATGGAATTGTTTTGTACTTTTTAAAATGAATAAACTTTATACCATACCATACCATGGTGAGAAAATGTGAAGGCACATTAGGAAGACTATTTTAATGACCAGTGCACCACTTGCAAACCTCGTGTGGATCTGATTAGCTTAGCTTCATGGTTGCTAACAGCTGTGCTAAATAAACAAGCCCTGCTACACTCACTGTTTATTTAGATTCTTAGAGGTGGACAAAGCTCAAAAATTTCCAGCTATTACAGTATATCGGTTATCAGTGGTCACCTTTCCCTCCCAATATTGGTGTTGGCGATAGCCAAAATTTCCATATCGATCGGGCTCTACTTGTTGTTACAACTTTTCTTGACAGAACCGGATACAGCCAGTTAGCATTTGTTCAGTGAATTAATTTAAAAAGAAATACATTATCGGTAATTTCTCATACTTCAGCAGTTTTTGGCGTATTTCTTATAAAAATGTTTTATCCCAGGGCATCATCCATCCATCCATCCATTTTCTTCCGCTTATCCGGGGTCGGGTCGCGGGGGTAGCAGCTTAAGTAGGGAGGCCCAGACTTCCCTCTCCCCAGCCACTTGGTCCAGCTCCTCCGGGGGAATCCTGAGGCGTTCCCAGGCCAGCCGAGAAACATAGTCCCTCCAGCGTGTCCTGGGTCTTCCTCTGGGCCTCCTCCCGGTGGGACGTGCCCGGAACACCTCACCAGGGAGGCGTCCAGGAGGAATCCCAAACAGATGCCCAAGCCACCTCAACTGGCTCCTCTTGACGTGGAGAAGCAGCGGCTCTACTCTGAGTCCCTCCCGGATGATCGAGCTTCTCACCCTATCTCTAAGGGAGAGCCCAGACACCCTGTGGAGAAAACTGATTTCGGCCGCTTGTATCCGAGATCTCGTTCCTTCGGTCACAACCCAAAGGTCATGACCATAGATGAGGGTAGGAACGTAGATCGATCGGTAAATTGAGAGCTTCGCCTTTTGACTCAGCTCTCTCTTCACCACGACAGACCTGTACAGTGCCTGCTTCACTGCAGACACTGCACCTATCCACCTTTTGATCTCACGTTCCATTTTTCCCTCATTCATGAACAAGACCCCAAGATACTTGAACTCCTCCACTTACAATACAATACAATACAATACAACTTTATTTATAGAGCACTTTAAAACAACACTGTTGGCCAAAGTGCTGTACACTAGGACATACAAAAACATAAAAACCCCACACGTTAAAAATGTGAAATAAAATAAAGATAACAAATAAAATAAAACAAATAACTTAGAGTCATTAAAACCAACATTTCAAACTGAAGTAAAAGCCAAAGAGAAAAGATGTGTCTTCAGAGAAGACTTGAAAACAGGAAGTGAGCCAGCTTGTCTGACATGCAGAGGCAGCTCGTTCCACAGTTTAGGGGCAGCGACTGAGAACGCTCGGTCACCTCTCAGTCTCCTGTTGGACCTTGGGACGACCAGCAGCAGCTGATCTGCTGACCTGAGAGAGCGAGAAGGAGTGTACAGCTGGAGCAGGTCGGACAGATACTGTGGGGCGAGACCATGAAGACATTTGAAAACAAATAAAAGAACCTTAAAATTAATCCTGAAGCGAACCGGGAGCCAATGTAGTGATTCTAAAACAGGGGTGATGTGTTCTCGTTTTTTGGTACCAGTTAAAAGGCGGGCAGCTGCGTTCTGAACCAGCTGAAGTCGAGTCAGTAATGACTGGCTCAGACCGACATAAAGAGAATTACAGTAATCCAGGCGAGTTGTGATGAAAGCATGGATTAAGATCTGAAAATGATGTTGTGACAGAAATGGTTTGACCTTGGCCAGTTGTCTCAAATGAAAGAAGCTGGACTTGATCACTGATTTAATCTGCGTGTCAAGTTTGAAGTCACTGTCCAGCCTCACGCCCAGGTTAGTTGCTGTCTCAGTCAGATGTTCTGTTAAAGGACCCAGATCAACATGGATATTGGAGCCTTCACTAGGCTTAAACAACAAGACCTCTGTCTTTTTGTCATTAAAATGTAAGAAGTTTAGTGACATCCATGCTCTGACTTCTGCCATACACCCCAGGAGTTGTTTCAAGGAATGGTGTTTGCCCTGTTTTAACGGAACATAGATTTGGCTGTCATCAGCATAAAAATGAAAAGAAATGCCATGTTTCCGGAGAAGATGTCCCAGAGGGAGTAGATACAGGGAAAACAGAAGAGGGCCAAGTATAGAACCCTGAGGTACTCCACAAGTGAGAGGGGCTACAGAGGACTCCACAGCACCAATGCGCACGCAGAAGTTTCTTTCTGTCAAATAGGATCTGAACCACTGTAGAGCAGGACCCTGAATGCCCACCCAGTTCTCCAGACGAGACAGGAGGATGTGATGGTCTACTGTGTCGAAGGCAGCAGTCAAGTCCAACAACATTAAAACTACACAGTCACCAGAGTCTGCGGCTAAAAGAATGTCGTTGAAGACTTTCAGCAGCGCAGACTCAGTGCTGTGGTGAGTTTTAAAGCCAGATTGAAACTGTTCAAGAAGGTTGTGGTCGTTTAAGTATGATGTTAACTGATTGTAAACAATTTTCTCCAAGATCTTAGATATGAAGGGCAGTTTTGAGATGGGTCTAAAGTTGGACATTACTGTGGGGTCTAGGCTAGGTTTTTTAATCAGTGGTGTCACAACTGCATGTTTAAAGCTCGCTGGTACCTGTCCACATGCCAAGCTGTCATTTATAATTTGGGACACATGAGGAGCCACGGTGTGAAAAACCTCTTTAAAAAGACGAGGTGGGATGGGATCATTTGGGGATCCAGCAGGTTTCATACGACCAGTGATGTCAGTTAAGGAAGACAGGGTGACGAGCTCAAACTGACTGAAGACAGCAGAGCGTGTGACGGAGACGGAGGGGTCGTAAGAAGGAGGGCTTATGAGAGCTCTAATGCTTGAAACCTTATTGATAAAAAAGCTCAGGAAGTTGTCACACATTTCAGTGGAGTTCTCTGGGCTGGCTGATTGTGGGGCGTTAAGAACAGAGGTGATTGTTTTAAAAAGCACACGTGGATTGCTGGAGTTGGAGGAGATGATGTCAGAGAAATATTTGTTTTTTGCAGCTCTAACAGTGGACTGATAGAAGCGCCAGCTGTCCCTCAGAGCTTGGAAAGACACCTGTAGTTTGTCCTTCTTCCACTTCCGCTCTGCTCTCCTGCACTGGCGTCTGGCAGATCGTGTGACCTCATCAGCCCAGGGGTCAGGCTTTGGTCTGGAAGCTCTTGTTTTTAATGGAGCCACAGCATCTAAAACGTTTTGACAGGCTGAGTTAAAATTAGATGAGAGAGCATCGATATCTGAATGAAGACCCACAGGGTCTGTGGGGCTGATGGCAGAACTAAAAGCTGCAGAGAACTGAGAAGCAGTGGAGGAGTTAATGACCCGACGGGGCTGTGCAGGAGCGCGAGGTTTGACTGAGCGACAGACGAGTGGCATGTCAAACACAACAGGCATGTGGTCTGAAAAGGCAGCATCACAAACTTCCATATTAGAAACATTAAAACCGTGAGCTAACACAAGGTCTAAGGTGTGGCCACATTCTTGTGTTGGATCAGACACAAACTGAAGCAAATTAAAAGAGTCTATCAGCTGTAAAAACTCTTTGACCAACGGTTTATCACCACAGCACACGGCTATGTTGAAATCTCCAACTATTAAGATCCTGTCATATTTAGGCAAGACTCCAGCCAAAAAATCTGCAAAGTCTGTCAGAAAGTCCTTATTGTATTTTGGAGGTCTGTATAAAACAGCACACAGTACGGGTTGTGAAGATCCGAGCTCAAACAAGTTGAACTCAAAGCTGGAATAACACGTTAAAGGTGTGATTTGTTTACAGAAATAGCTCTTCCTGTAAACAGTCGCTATTCCTCCTCCACGACCCGTCGTCCTTGGAGAGCTGAAGTATGCACAGTTTGGTGGCAGGAGTTCACAAAAAGCACTGGACTCACCGGCAGTTATCCATGTTTCAGTAATGAATAAAAAATCCAGACCACGGGAGGTGAAGAAGTCCTTCAGAATAAAGGTCTTGTTTGTTAAAGATCTAGCATTAACCAGAGCCATGTGAACATGAGATGGAGCCAGGGTGAC